CCCCTACGCTGCTCTCCAACAGGTCATTCCTAAGCCCTTGTCCTGCTGACAAACGAGAGTGGCTCTGCTGCTTCCCACAGCACCGCGTTAGCGTGCAAAGCAGCTGACCTACACAGGAGCGGAAGGGGCAGCGCTGTGGAACACGCGGCGGCTGCCCCCTCACTGAGCACAGCGACAGCCCCTGCAGACATTGGCAACACTTTAATGACAGTACTCGAACTGTACAACCGAGAAGCGATGGCAACGCTGACTGTACACTGTGTTTCTCCAGCCGCTGCCCAAGCGTCAGGTTCAATTTAAAGATGAAGCTCATAAAAATGCACAATTCCCTCCCAAGATACTGTACACTATTCAGCAGGTTAAAAACTGAAAAAAAAATCTCTCATTAGAAAAGTCATTATATTATTTGTATACATCAGGGACAGTCTACATAATCACCTTCATCTAGAAAATATGTGCATTTTGAACCATTTCCACGCAACAGTTTCTCATTTCAAAGGTGGTATAAAAAGACAACACAGCAGTCCTAACCCCTAGAACACTATATGTAAAACAAAACAAATGTGCATCCTTTTATTGCATGTGTTAGGTGAATAAAATACAATAACAACGATTCAAAAATATGTGGATTGTTTCGTTTCCACCAAGTGACTACCGTACCAAAAGATACGGGTAACGTGAAGTGTGTGCCATGACCATTTTAGGCCAAGAGCCTCTTCAACGGCGTGTTTGTCGTGCTAACCTGCAACAGACTGCTGTGTTTAAGACCCCTGTGACATAATTTGTGCACCTAGTAACTCACTATTCAATCACCTCGCAAGCTTAAGAGCACTGCACCTATAAAATAGTGTATCTATTGCATCAAAAGTATAAAGTGTGTTGCTTACAGTTTAAAAATCTATAGAAAAAGTTTGTTTTCCTTACAAAAACCGCTGAAATTCTGCCAAGATATACATTTTGAGATGTGAAATTTAACACATTCCCTGTGAAAGGAGGCTATAAACGTGAGGCATTGTTGAGCTGCAGGAGTGACCTGCGCAGTGGTACGGAGGATGCGGGGGTGCTTCACTGGCTTGTCTGGGTAACTAACACAGCACGAGTTTCTGAATCTCTTCACGCGACGCCACTGCTCGGCTGATGGGAGCAGCATGGAAAAAGCCCCGCAGAGAGCGTGTTTTGGTATGACTGAAGATCCCCAGGCCCATTTCTAAGTTGGTGGAGGCCCGTTGGTGTACCGCAGCATGGGATAGAAGGAACGGGCGAAGTTGTTTGCCTGGGTGCAGCTGTAGTCTTCCTCAGAAGAAGGAATCATGCAAGCCAGAAGTAAAAGCAGCAGAAAGAACAACTGGAGAGGTAAAGCTGCTCGTAATACACGGTAAAAGAAGGAAGGAGACCGAGGAATGGCTTGAACAGGTTGTGGATGGCTTTCATGTCTGAAAAAGAGACAAAAAGAGAAAAAAAAGAGGCACTTTAGAGTTTGGATTTCTAATGTGAACTTCTGAAGCTGTTTTAAAGTCCCTCTCTAGGGTTCCCACTGCCCTTCGAAGATGCAGAGCTGTGTATATACAGGAAAACGCACTGCACATCAAACAATTTAACTTGAAAGCGTGCAAGACGACTCACTAGGAAGCCAGCTCCTGGCTCGGGTTTACTGTCCTTGCTGCTGAAGAAGAAACACTGGTTTGTAATAGCTTAGATCAGTGTGTTTTTACGCTATTTTCTGAAGTTGTCCCTGCAGACAAACCACTCTAACTACATGGTGAAGTAGGAAGGAAAGCCATCATTCAGACTGACTGGGCTCTTCTCTGCCTGGGCATTCGTGAGCTCTGTCCTTTGAACAGACTCCACCATACTGGGGGTGAAGCTGTCCCTTTGTACTTGATGGTCTGTTGTAGGAAGTGGCTCTAACCTGCAAGTTTCTTTGTCCAGGTGTGCTGGTGGAATTAAAGGAAGATTTAAAACAAAAATGTTCCCCCATCTGGCACAAAAATTATTTCCTCAGGAGTAAACACAAGCCAAGGTTGCACAGAGGTCTAGGAGCAGGAGCACTAAAGGAAAACCATTCACCGAGGTGCAGCCCAGAGCTGGTAGGCAGAGGAGCCACTGCAGGTAGGCACAGATCACCTGTGAGATCAGCTGCCCAGGTTCTGCTGGGACTCAGCTCGCCTCTGCCATTTTCACTATCGAGAGAATATAGAAAATATTATATAAATATTTATTAAATAAAATAATACCTTGTGCTGCTGCTGTCTCTGCCATCTGCAGTTCTCCTTACGGTGCTCTGTTGAGAGAAAGAGCTTTTAGTGCCCAGGTTTTGGCAATGAGAAGGAGTCTCCTTTCTCAGAAAAGACAGTTGCAGACTAAAGTCCTGTTGTAAATTCTGTAATAAGGCATATGCATCTAAAAGTTTAAATGATTGTATGTGAGGAACTTTCAGGCTAAATATGTCAAAATACAGTATATACTGATGGCAAAATATTAGAAAAAAATGCTTGCCTTCCTCACAGCAGGGCTGGATTTCACTGCAACGGGATTGCAGATTCCTGAGTCCAAGTCATCTGGAACTAGC